TCCCAATTTAACCATTTGTCTTATAAAAACTTCAAATTTTAGGTCATGTCTCAATTTTACCATAAACTTTTTTTTGTCCCATAAAAAATTCTCAACTTTAGATCCAGTCCAAATTCTACCCTAAACTTTTTTCGTCTCATAGAAAAATACTTAATTTTAGGTCCAGTATCAATTTTACCTTAAACTTTTTTTTTGTTTCGTAAGAAAATCCCAGCTTTAGGTCCAGTTTCAATTTCACTTTAATTTTTTTGTCTCATAAAATATCACCAACTTTTACTTGAGTCCCAAATTTGCTTTCCATTAACCCTCGGTCAAAATCTCACTTAGTGATTTTGCGCTCATCGATCTTTCGTGCTTAGGAATATTCCATCTCTCGCAATCGAAGAGCTCACGCTTGGGATGCTTAAGCAGCTCGTGCTTGGTCGGTGAGCTTGCGCTTGGGATGATCGAACAGCTCGTGCTTATGAGTTTTTCATATCTTAATTATCAATGAAAAATTTCGAATGGAGGGTTAACGGGGCAGATTTGTGATTCAAGTAAAAGTTTATGGTTTCTTATGAAACTGAAAAAGTTTATGGTAAAATTGAGACAAGACCAAAAGTTTGGGGTTTTTCATTAGATAAAAAAAGTTTAGAATAAAATTGAGACATGATCTAAAGGCGAAGGTTTTCTGTGGGACAAAAAAACAGCTTACGGTAAAATTGAAATTGAACCTAAAGTTTGAGGTTTTTTACAAGACAAAAGGTAAAATTGAAACAAAAGTTAAAGTTGAAGGTTTTTTAGGGTATTTTTTTCCCATAAAAGAAAAATGCCCATTTTTTTTATCACTTTCTAATATTGACAAGTCAAGGATAATGGAATGAGTCGAGGACGATGAGTGGCATTTTTTAAAAATAGACAACAGTATCCAAGTAAAAGAAAGTAGAGGGGCCGATTTGATTTTTCAAATAAAAATACATGGACTAGTAGCAACGTTACCCCTAAATTTTTTTAAATTCAATTAATATTCTTTTTATTTCTAAATTTCGGAAGGAAAGAAAGCGCCGTAAGAAGAACGCTGGAAGTAACTCTAAAATCAGAGCCACGCCGCGACCGATGGGCAGCTCAGGAGGACACACGTGGCCATCCTAAATCACCTGTACGCAGAAAAACCGAAGGTACACAGCGTGCACCTCAAGCACAACGGTCGGGAATTCGGCAGCCCACCGACTTTCCCAATTTGACCCCGCCAACAAACAGATCACGACCGTCCATCCAATCACCGACTCTGACTCCTTCGAATTTTATTTATGATCGACGGTGGATCCGAAGTCGGTGTATCCTTTCCTTATAAGTACCCGTCCTTTCCCCTCTCTCGTCCTCCTCATTCAAGCGTTTTTGGTACTGCTCGCGTTCCCCTCTTCGCTCTCGCCCGCCCACGGCGTCTCCGCGATGGTTGATCACGATCAAGCGTTCTTTCATTGGACCCCCCCTTCTTCTTCTTCTTCTTCTTCTTCTTGCGATTGCGTCTCTCCCTTTGATGGCCTTTGATGGCTTAGTGATTCATCGACCCATCGATCGAACTTTGCGTCGTTGGTTTTTACCAGCTTATTCTGGATTTTTGTTTATTCGGTGAATTCGCAGTGCCTTCTTTCCCCTTGGAGCGGAACTGTTTGTCTGTCTGAGGATGTCAAGGACGATGATGGATACGATGACATTGGTCTGTTTGTTTCGTAAAGCTAAGATGGTTTGGGCTTTTTGGAGGACCGATGACCCCTTTTTGCCGTCTTTCTTTGGGTCGAGATGATGAACTAGTAAGTCTTTGATCACATATTAGACCGGACAACAGACTGAAATTTACTGTTTTCGATTGAAATTTGTTCTTCATTCTTTTTATCTTTGGGAGTTGATTATCGTTTAGTCCTAATTCTCTCACAATTTGGAGTCTTTGCCAGACTTGACAAGTGGTGATCTGCCGCGAGCCGATGATTGTCTGAAATTGGATAAGCTCTATTGTTTCTTGAGGCAGTTGTCGATCTGTGATGGTTCTTTCTTTGCAAGGTGTCTTTTTATTTTATTTTATTGAAGTTCGAAAGCCGGGGGTCTCCTTCCTAGAAATAGTCCCTCCCCCGTGTCCTCATCCTTCAGTCTCATCCTGCTACTATGATTGTGCATGCGTTCCTCTCTCAGTTGACAGCCTCTGTGAAGTACTCTTCAGAGGACACATCGTTCCCGAAACATGCTCTTGATCCTTAAATCGGTCTGATTCTGTTTATGCCATGTTATTTTTCCGAAGGTTACGCCTCGCCTCTTCGGGACTCTGCCATGTTGTTGGCATCGTCAGGGTTTGCTTTACGCCTCGCCTTTTCGGGACTCTGCCATGTTGTGGGCATCGTCAGGGTTTGCTTTGCGCTCCTCTGATCGTTGATTGATTCGTTGTTGATTGATCTTTCCAAGTTTCATAATATTATGAGCTGATTCTGGTATTCACTATTCGGTGAATTTGCAGTAGCTTCTTTCCTCTTGGAGCGATCATTTTGTTTGAGGATGTTGTCTGAGGACAATGAATACAACGAAAATGGTCAGTTGGTTACATAGAATAATACATTTGGGCTTTTTAAGGGACTAATAATCTATCTTGCACTGTTTGGTTAAGCTAATAATCTAGTCCTTGTCGTCAGGACAAGCGATGGACCGAAATTTTGACATGCTACGTTTCTTGTACAGGTTGGAAGTTTTGCTGGATCTGACAGCTGGTGATCTGTTTTATTTTCTGTGGGGCTGAGTTGATAATTGTTTGAATTTGGATGAGCCCCTGCTTCTCGGATTTTAGGCAGTTATTGGTTGGAATGAAACTTGTCCTTCACTTCTGTTATTTTCTTGTTAATCCGAAAGATCAGATCTAGTTCTCTTCCCTTCGCAGATCAGAGTTTGGTCGACACAATACTTATCCTGGCCAAGTTCGATCTGCGATCAGTGATGTTCTTTCTTGCTGCATATGCATCGATTCCTAATTTGTCTTCCACTTCTGTTATCTTCTAGTTAAGGTGGAACGATCAGATGTTCTCTTTCCTTCGCAGGTCAGAGTTTGGTCGAGGCAATACATTACCTCGTCAATTTCGATTTGGAGTGTCTGTGATCAGTGATGGTTCTTTCCTGCTGCATAAGTATCAATCACTATTTACCATTCTTCATCGACCCTTCTTCTTTTGTTTCTGTTTCTTGATTGATTGTTGATGGGCCCATTGCTTTCTCGGTCTGATTTTTGAAGCATCTGGTTGCAGACACCCTTGTTATGTTAGATTCTTGAGGGTTTCGCTTGGCCTCTTTAGGATGATGCCCATTGTTATTGGAATTATCTTGTTTACACTCGGTGATTCATCGTCGGTTTTTGCATTATTGTTTTCCCAGCTTATTCTGGATTTTTGTTATTCTGTGAATTGGCAGTGGCTTCTTTCCTCTTGGATCATATATCTTTCGTCTGAGTATGTTGTTATGGGAGGTGCTTGGTTTAGCTCCTCCTCTGATCCTTTATTGATTCATCGACTGATCGATCTTTCTGTGTACTTGTTTTACAAGCTGCTTCTGGATTTTGTTATTTGGTGAGTTCACAGTGGCTTCTTTCCCCTTGGAGCAAAATGTTTGTCTGAGGATGTCAAAGATGAAATGAGTACGATGACGCTGGTCAGTTTGGGCTTCTTGGAAGACTGATGATCTGTTGTCTTTTTTTTTTTTTTGTTGGGGGGGGTGGGGTGTGTTGAGATGATAAACGAGTAGTCTTTGATCACATCTTAGACCGGGCGATAGACTAAAATTTACTGGTTTTGATTGAAATTTGTTCTTTGGTCTTTTATCTTTGGGAGTTGATTATCGTCTGTGATAGTCATCTCACAGGTTTGCCAGACTTGACAAGTGGTGATCTGCCACAAGCTGATGATTCTCTGAAATTGGATAAGCTATCATTCTCGAGGCAGTTATCGGTTTGAATGAAATTTGTTCAACAGTCCCATAATTTTCTGATTAATACGAAAACTGTTTCTCATTCCTTCGGAGGTCAGTGTTTGGTCGATGTATGATCTGTGATGTTTCTTTCTTTCCAAGGTGTACGCGCCCCAACAGAGCACTATCCAATCCAGATCTGCTTCATCTTAGCTGGTGTCTCCTTCCTAGAAATGGTCCCTTCCTTGTGTCCTTATCTTTCAGTCTTATCGTGCGTTTGTGATTGTGCATGCGTTCCTCTCTCAGTTGACAGCCTCTGCGAAGTAATCTTCAGATGAGACGTTGTTCCCGAAACGTGCTCTTGATCCTTCTTCTTTTCTTTTTTGTTTCTTGACTGATTGTGGAATCAGTCTGATTCTGTTTATGCTATGTTATTTTCTGAAGGTTATGCCTCGCCTTTCTGGGACTCTGATGTTATGGGGCATTGTTAGGGTTTGCGTTCCTCTGTTGGTTGATTGATTCATCATTGATTGATTTTTCCAAGTTCAATTGTATAATGAGCTGATTCTAGTATTCACTATTCCCTGAATTGGCAGTGGATTCTTTCTTCTTGGAGCCATCATTTTGTCTGAGGATGTTTTCTGAGGCCAATGAATACTATGCAACTGGTCAGTTGGTTACATAGAATACGACATTTGGGCTTTTTGGAGGACTAATGATCTATCTTGTGCCGTTTGGTTGGGTCGATGATCTAGAATTCTTTGTCTTCAGGACAAGCGATGGACCGAAATTTTGACAACCTTCTAGGCTTCTTTTACAGGTTGAAAGTTTTATTGGATTTGACAGCTGGTGATCTGTTGTGTTTTCTGTGGGGCTAAGTTGACAATTGTTTGAAATTGGATGAGCCCCTGCTTCTTGGATTTTAGGCTGTTATTGGTTTGAACGGAACTTGTCCCTCACTTCTCTTATTTTGTTGTTAATCAGAAAGATCAGATCTAGTTCTCTTCCCTTCGCAGGTCAGAGTTTGGTTGAGGCAATACTTGACCTGGCCAAGTTCGATATGTTAGTGTCTGCAACTTGCTGCATAAGCATCAATTCCTAATTCCTCTACAGGTTGAAGTTTTGTCGGGTTTGAGAAGTGGTGATCTATAGCATTCTTCTGTGAAGCTGAGTTGATGGTTGTTTGAAATTGGACAAGCAATCACTTCGTGGATTCTAGGCAGTTTTACCGTTTGAATGAAGTTTGTTCTCCACTTCTGCTTTTTTACGATTATGGTGAGTTGATTAGGGCCTAGTTCTCTTTCCTTCGATGCAAACCTCATTTGGTTCGATGTGGACCGTCTTCAATCTGTGATGGTTCTTTCTAGATCCATAATCTTTATTACATTTAACGATCTCTTCTTTCCTTGAGCTTCTATTGGTTTTGCTGTATTTGGAAGATGAATAATCATTGACTATCTTCCATTGTAGGTATTGTTTATGAGTCTGGAAAGCTTGAGGTCCACTAAGTTCTGGCTTGTTTCTCTTCGTTCTTTTAATGAATGCTGCAATTGATTGCTGGTAAATCATGCAGATATTGCATGTGCAATTTATTTGCTTTGCCTTTTCTTTTTCCGAATACTAGCTTCACACAATACCTAGTTAGGCTTAGGCTTTCACCAATTGATGTGATTTCTTTTGGTACAGAACCTTTGGTGGAACTTTTCCATTTATCAGGTGATTTCTATGCTTTAGGTGGTAGTTAAGGAGTGGTCATGGACATTCTTATTGTTTACACTCCTCCTTTGATCATTGTTGATGGATTGATCCATCCTTCTGTTGTTTTAGAGCTGTTTCTGGGTTTATAATCCATTGGATTGGTAGTAGCTTCTTTTCTCACGGAGCAATCTCTTTGATTGAGGATGTTGTCTAAGGAATGGTACATATGATGAGGTTGGTCAATTATTACTTGGAATAATGCGTTCGACGATCTATTCACATCTATCTTTGGTTGGGTTGGTGGATGGGCAGTGTCGTTGAGCATCTTCAGGACCGGGTGAAGAACTGAATTTTGGATGAACTCCTGCTGTGTAGGCACTTGGGTTTTTTATTGAATCTCATTCCTTAGTTGATTCCCTTGGAGTGGAATGTTGATAATTTTAGAAGTGTTGATCAATTGCTTTTTTTGTGTGGCTGAGTTGATGAATTGCGGAGTCCGAGCTTTGTTTGAAATTGGATAAGCTCTCACTTCTTGGATTTTTCTTCTTTTGATGTCCATGTGTATATGGATCAATCCCTAATCAATTGATTTGATAGGGTGTGCAAGAACTAGCTTGACTATGCTTTGAGGTTTCGAAGTTTGATGTAAGATCTCTGCTTGTCATGGGATGGCCTTTCTGTTGGACATACTTGCAAGAAGAGAGTGCTAAGTATCCTTAGTTGCAATAAGATATCTGTATGGGTTTGCCTAGCCTATACTTTCCGCTGCTGTAATACTTTCTTCTGGTACAGTAAATTTGTTGGGGACATGTTACAAATGAAGTGTTTTGTAGGTGAGATGGGTTGTCTTTAGTTTGTAGTGCCACCTTGAGGGCCTAATATTTCTGTATATTTTAGGTTCTCGTTGATCCATGGGACTATGGAGACTTTTCTGCTAGGACCTAAGATAGACTTCATGCAAACTGTTAGCATCTCATTCTGAAAGTATGTACTGGTACTGTGCTTTTGCCTTTTAGCTTCCTAATAACATACACAATGTTGGTTACTTTCATAACTAGAAGGTCTCTTTCTTCTTGTGTTTCATTATTGGATTATGTGTTTCTATAGGGATTGTCTGTAGCTGCATGAACTCTGCAAAAATCTGGTTTATGATATTTTCATTTTCAAGGATTAGAGGCGTTGCGATAAACATCTAGTTCTCTTCCTGTTGTAGGTTGGAGTCTTTTTGTTGCAAATTATGCTGAATTCGACCTGGTTTGTGTTGTAGTGTATCGACCCATTTTAATTAACTTTTAGGGGAATGATTTGACTTAGCAAGCTTTTACTTTTTTCTTCTCTTGGGGGTATATTTGGTATAGATGGTTTATTTTGGGTGCCACTTCAAGTTTCTCTTCGATGATGTGTTCTCATCTTGGTCTGCAAACTTCACTGGATAAATCTACCTTTACTACAATTGAGTCTTGTGTCCAAGGCTAAGTCCAGTTGTTGCTTAGCTTGGTCATTTGGGGCTTTTACTTTTTGCTTCTTTGGGGGGTAGTTTTAATGGTTAATTCTGGGCACCAGTTCAAGTCTCTGTCTTCGATGATGTCGCAGTCTCATCTTTTTCTGTGAACTTCATGTGGTGGCACACGTCAATGGCAGTTTGACTTGTCGGATGCCTCTACCTTATATTTGTGTGCTGGGAAACTGATTGCAGATATTCACTAACATCATGGAAGATTATCCGTTTCTACTTTCAATTGGTTTGGTGCAGTCTGTAGAAGCTCTCTCTTCCGGATTCTCTTTATATTGAATCTCCAGTTGATATAAATTTGCGTGACAAATTAGTTTTATATTGCTTGTGTTGAAATCGAGAGTTACTTGGCCACAGCTCGCTCGATCACTCCACATGGATTCACCCTCGATTCTCTCCGAAACTCATATTCTATTATCATCGTTTTCTGAGGATGCTGGCTCTCGTTTGTACCTTCAAAACTATATCTGCAAGGATGCTCGGGAATATATGCTCATGGGGACGCATGGAGTTGATGGTTTGGATGTTTTTGCCATCTTTTATAAGCTCGCTCTTTGAATGAGATGGTGCACTGGACATGTTGCTTTACGTAGGGTTCATATGTTGTAGGAGCTGTACTTGATGTTGAACTTGAGAAGAAAAACTGAGCCAATTGAAAGGATCTTCTGATCAATCCAGAGATCACCTCACTCTTGTGACATGCTATCTTTCCCCCAGGACATTGGCTTCCGCCAACAGTGGACTATTAAAGAAGCCTCGAGGTTATCGAGGAAAAGCTTGGAAAAAGGAACTTGGTTTATTGAAAAGAAAGAATTTCTTTTTCCTCTCTTTCACAGCCAACAATTCCTGAAGGAATAGAACAAGACTCTTTATTCCCCCATTGAATCGAGACTGGCAATGAGATCAAAAGAAAGAAAAATGAAATCGTTTGATCGAAAGTGTATGTTAATAGAGCTAAACTGTTTTGAAGACCTTGCAAAGAAATTGCGCCTTCCTGCAGGATGTATGGAGCTTGTACAATTCCACTTGGATTTTTGGACTCTTCAACATATTTCTTTCTATTGTCAGTTGCTCACTTTCTTGAGCAAATTGTGCAGCTTTGTATCTTAGCACAAGTAAGACAGTTTTGGTTGGCAAACAATCAAGCATAATTGTGCAGATAGCACTTGTTATCTTTTTGGTCAGGGTGTGATGTTCTAACTCTTGGATGTGATGTCCTTGGCCATCTGTATTTTACGGACTTCAAATTCTTGAGATTTGCCAAATGAGAGGCAGGGATTTCCTTGTAACTAGTCTTGGATTTTCATTTGTGGCATCTAATTGTGGATATTCTCGGTCAAGTGTCCTAATTGGAGATATTTTGAGTTTTTTGCTAACTAGTAATGTTGGGCATTATGGAATTGGCATCTCTTCCTCTCTCTTCTAGAATGTGGCTTTTACAAACTATCCAGGTGACATGGGCTATTTTGCAAGTAAATGTCTTTTTACTTTTTTCCATATGAATGTTTCGTGAAGGCAAATGGAGCCTTATCAAACTTGAGGATTCCTGTGGCAGCAGGGATGTTTCCCGGCAGATTTGTGGTCTCGTCCCTTTTACCCTGGATAGCATCTTCATAGCTCCTCCCAGTGCAGTATTACGTTCGTAATCCTGTCAAAGTGTCAGGGATAGTCTTATAATCAGAAAGAACAAACTGATTTTATTCTCTGTCGATGCCAATGCTCCTGTTACTTGAACATATATCATCTATGGTTGACACATTCTCCATTTCAGCCGGTAATCTTTGATGATACCACAGCAAAGCTCCACTACACTGCCTTTTACATTGACTTCCCTCTAGCACTAATCTATGATCTCTAATGTAAAGTTGGGAAAGTCTATAAAATTGAGCTTTGTGATAAGCCGCAGCAAAGCTCCATTCCACTGCCTTCTACAGATCATTAATTAATCTGTTGAGAAGAAATTCAGTTGTTAGTTTATAATAATGTCTAGAGTCATTGCATATGTATAATTCGATATAATTCTTTGTTACGAGCTGCTTCTGGATTTTGTTATTTGGTGAATTCACACTGGCTTCTTTCCCCCTGGACGATGAATACAATCCGGTCAGCTTGTTTCCTAAAACTAGGTGTTTGGGCTTTTTGGAGGACTGATGATCTTTTTGCTGTCTTTTTTTGGTTGAGATGATGAACTTGTAGTCTTTGATCACATCTTAGACCGGGCCATAAACTGAAATTTACTGGTTTTGATTGAAATTTTTCGTCAGTTTTTTTATCTTTGGGAGTTGATTATTGTCTAGTTCTAATCCTCTCGCAGGTTGGTGTCTTGCCAGACTTGACAAGACAGTTATTGGTTTGAATGAAATTTCTTTTCACTCCCATATTCCCGATTAATGCAAAATCCGATTCTCACTGCTTAGGAGGCCAGTGTTTGGTCGATGTTGATCTGTGATGGCTCTTTCTTTGCAAGGTGTACGCGCCCCAACAGATCACACTTGCCAATCTGAATCCAGTTCGTCTTATTTTTATTGAAGATCGAAAGCTGGTATCTCCTTCCTAGAGAGATAGTCCTTTCCTCATGTCCTCATCCTTCAGTATCATCTTGCGTCTATGATTGTGCATGCGTTCCTCTCTCAGTTGACAGACTCTGCAAAGTACTCTTTTGAGGAGACGTCAATCCCAAAATGCGCTGTCGATCCTTCTTCTTTTCTTTTGTTTCTTGATTGATTGTTAAATCAGTGTGATTCTGTTTATGCTATGTTATTTTCTGAAGGTTACGACTCACCTCTCAGGGAATATGCCATGTTATGGGGCATCTTTAGGGTTTTCGTTCCTCTGATCGGTGATTGATTCATCATTGATTGATTTTTCCATTTAATTGTATTATGAGCTGATTCTAGTATTCAATATTCCGTGAATTGGCGGTGGCTTCTTTCTTCTTGGAGTGATCTTTTTTTCTGAGGATGTTGGATGTTGTCTGAGGACAATGAATACAATGCAACTGGTTAGTTGGTTACATAGAATACGACATTTGGGCTTTTTGGTGGACCAATGGTCTATCTTGCGCTGTTTGGTTGGGTTGATGATCTAGAATTCTTTGTCTTCAGGACAAGCGATGGACTGAAATTTTGTTGACCTTGTAGGCTTCTCTTACAGGTTGAAAGTTTTACTGGATATGACAGTTGGTGATCTGTTGCATTTTATGTGGGGCTTAGTTGATAATTGTTTGAAATTGGATGAGCCCCTGCTTCTCGGATTTTATGCAGTTATTTGTTTGAACAAAACTTGTCCTTTACTTCTGTTATTTGTAGTTAATTGGAAAGATCAAATTTAGTTCTCTTCCCTTCATTCTCTTCTTCCCTATCGTGGAACTGGGTTCAGGCATTACCTAGTTTGCTTCTCCTTCTTTTTACACGACTTCTGCATTTTCTTTTGGTACAGAACAAGAGGCCTTTCACGTTCTTTATGTGCGAGAGGTTGTTTAAGTTGGTTGGACTCTGTCAATGGCCATATAAATGTCTACATTGTAGGTTTCCTTTGGTTATTGGGACTGTGAAGGCTTATTGCTGACAGAATTGGTTTTACTTCCGCATACTGGAAGCATCTTATTTTGAAATGATGTACTTCAGATATCTATTCCGATTTGCATTCTTAATGTTTCTTATTTTGTTTCTATTTCTTAACGAATGATGAGCCAATTACTTTCTTGGTCTAATTTCAGAAGCATCTGGCTTGTTGTAGAAGCTTAATTTGTTCAGTTTCCTGTTGCCTCTTTGGGACTTTGCCATGGTCATGGACATCATTAGGGTTTACTCTCCTCCTTTGTCCATTTATTAATTGATTGGTTGGTCGATTTATTTAGTTGTCTTACGAGCAGATTCTGGATCTCTTATTTAGTGGATTGGGAGTAACTTCTTCTCTGATGGACCGATCTCTACTCCCGAGGAAGTCGTCTAAAAGAACAGTAAATATGATGAGTTTAGTCAATTGTTGCATAGAATAAGCGTTAGAGCTTTTTTTTTGGGACTGACGATTTATTAGCAGTATAATGTTGGGTTGGTGGACTAGGAGTACCGGGTGATGAACTGCAACTTTAATAATTTCCTGCATGGACACTTATGTTTCTTTTTTAAAATTCATTCTTTCATTAGTTATCTTTGGGTAGTGGCAAGAATTGAAATGATAATTGTCTAGTTCTAATTGCTTTAGGTTGAAGGTTTACTGAATTTGAGAAGTGCTGATCCATTGCCTTTTCTGCAAGGCTGAGAGGATGAATTGTGGACCGGGTATTGTTTGAAATTGGATAAGCTTTGATTTATTGGATTCTGGGCAGTTAACGGTTCCAATATTATTGACTCTAGTTCCTTTATTTTTTATTTAAGCAAGAGGATCACCATTCAGTTCTGTTTCTTTTGTAGGTCAGAAATTGGCTAAAGCAAAGGCTTTACCTCTAACTTCAATATGGAGTGTTCTTTAATCTATATATGTCTTACCTTTATGATTGATGGAACTATCCTGCCTGTTATTTATCACAGACTTTTTCCTTTCAACGTCCTTTGTCGCACATTCATTTGGAAATACGTTTCTTGCATATGCATTTGTTTGACTTGGTGTTAATGTCTGCTTGAATTTTGTGTCAATATGTTAAATTTGGTTTATTTGAAGAATTTTTTGTCAGGTTTCTTTTGTGTTTATACTAGATGAGATTGATGTTGTCTGGATGGTAATTTCTGACGCCGGAGATGTTATTTTGGTGTGACCTATTGCCCCTTTTTTCTCTATGTTATTTGGAACTTGCAGGATAGGTTCTTTTCCAAAAAAAAGCACTTGTTTTTCAACACTTTTTTTTGCGGTAATATTTACCTTTTGTCAAATCTTTATCAAATGTATAGTATGTAGGGTTTTCACTTATAAAGCGATGTTGTTGGATGGTTCATCAATAGATTGATCTTTCCATTAAATTGTTTAACAGAAATAGTATGTAGTGTTGGATGATTCTGGATTTCGGTGGATTGGCAGTTGCATCTTTCCTCTTGGAGCGATCTCTTCATGAGCATGTCGTCTAAGGATGATAAATACATAGAAGCTGGTCAGTTTCCATAGAATAAGGTGCTTGAGCTTCTTGGAGGAGTGGTAATCTATTATGCAGTCATTTTTGTGCTTGAGTTCTGAAGTCGTCTTTGATCACATCTTCAGGACGGGCAATGGTCTGAAATTTTGAAGATTTCTAGGCATTTTGTAGTTTTGAATTAAGTTTGTCTTCAGTTGATTATCTTCGGGGAGCAGTGAGATAATTATTGTTGAGTTCTAATTCCTCTACAGGTTGAAGTTTTTCCCGGTTTGAGAAGGGGTGATCTATTGCGTTCTTCTGCGGGTTTGAGTTGATAACTGTTTGAAATTGGACAAGCAGCTGCTTAATGGATTCTAGGCAGTAATTGGTTTGAATGAAGTTGGTTTTCCCCTTCTGCTTTTTTCCAGTTTTGGTGAGATGACTAGGGCCTAGTTCTCTTTCCTTCGATGCAAATCTCTTCTGGTTCGATTTTGACCGTCTTCAATCTGTGATGGTTCTTTCTAGATTTCATTTAACAAGCTCTTCTTTCTTTGAGCTTCTATTGGCTTTTGTTGTATTTGGAAGATGAATAATCATTGACTATCTTCCATTGTGGGGATTGTTTATGAGTCTGGAAAGCTTGAGGTCCACCAAGTTCTGGCTTGTTTCTCTTTGTTCTTGTAATGCATGCTGCAATCACGAAATTGATTCCTGGTAAATCATGCACATATTACATGTGTAATTTATTCATCTTGACTTTTTGTCCCCATATACTAGCTTTACACAATTTAGATAGCTTAGGCTTTCATTCTATACGATGGATGTGTTTTCTTTTGATACAGAACCTTTGGTGGAACTTTTTTATTTGTCAGGTGATTTCTATGCTTTAGGTGGTTGTTAAGGAGTGTTCATGGACATTATTAGTGTTCACGCACCTCCTTTGATCATTTATTGATGGATTGATCCATCCTTCTGTTGTTTTAGAGCTGTTTCTGGATTTATAATCCTGTGGATTGGCAGTAGCTTCCTTTCTCACGGAGAAATCTCTTTGATTGTGGATGTTGTCTAAGGAATGGTGCATATGATGAGGTTGGTCAATTATTACTTATAATAATGCGTTCGACGATCTATTCACTTCTATCTTTGGTTGGGTTGGTGGATGGGCAGTGTCCTTGATCATCTTCAGGACCGGGTGAAGAACTGAAAATTTGATAAACTTCTGCAGCGTAGGCACTTGGGTTTGTGTTGAATCTCGTTCTTCAGTTGATTCCTTTGGAGTGGAAAGATGATAATTGTCTTTGGTCTAATTCCTTTATAGATTGGAGTTTTGCCAGATTTTAGAAGTGATGATCTATCGCCTTTTCTGTGCAGCCAAGTTGATGAATTGTGGAGGCCGGGCTTTGTTTGAAATTGGATAAGCTCCCATTTCTTGGATTTTGGTTCTTTTCATGTGCTCACTCTCGATATGTATATGGATCAATCCCTATAAAATTGATATTTTGGCCGTGCTTTTATGATAGGGTGTGTGAGATCTAGCTTGATTATGCTTTGAGGGCTTGAAGTTCGATGTAAGATCTCTGATTGTCATTGGATGGCTTCTCTGTTGGACTTACTTGCAAAAAGAGTATGCTAAGTCTCTTTAGGTGCAATAAGATATCTGTATGGGTTTGCTTAGCCTATATTCCGCTGCTGTGATACTTTCTTCTGGTACAGTAACATTGTTGGGGACATTTTACAAATGAGGTGTTTTGTAGGTGAGCTGGGTTGTTTTTAGTTTGTAGTGCCACCTTGAGGGCCTAATTTCTGAATATTTTAGGTTATTGTTTATCGATGGGACTATGAAGACTTTTCTACCGGGACTTAAGATATACTTCTGTTGGATAGCAAGTTGATGTTATTATTGTAATTGTACTAGGCTTAGGGTTAAGCCTATAAGTACTTCTCTATCTCAGAAATAAAAAAGATTAACGCGTCTTTTGCTGTTAACATGGTATCAGAGCATAATTAACACCTCAACCCTAAAAAAAAAAATCACCGCTTCTCATCAATGACCAGCTGCCAGCCACCGTAGGACTCGCCGGCGACTTCTGTGCGTCGTCGCCCAGGCCCGGCGACATCAGTATGGCGTCCGTCGCCCAGGGCCGACGAACCCAAATTCGGCGTGTTCCTGGCCCAGGTACCTCAGTCCGGCGTCGTGTGACTTCCGTGCGACGTCGCCCAGGTCCGGCGACTTTATCCATCGTCGCCCAGGTCTTGGCGACATCAGCCCAGCGTCGCCCAGACTAGGCGATCTTGATTCGTGGTCGATTGATGGAGTGAGGGAGGGGTTTGTTTATCCTTTCCTGTTGATTCGTGGTCTTGGTTTGCTTTGTCTGTGGGGCTGAGTTGATGATTATTTGAAATTGGACAAGCAGCGGCTTCGTGGATTCTAGGCTGTTGAAACACTTTAGGGCTACGAATTATAAATCTACAATTGCGGCGTGATCCTTTGCCAATGATGATCTGTCATCCAGATACTCTAATTCATGGTTCTAGTGTATCTCTTTCTCATCTGCTCCACAAGGGTTGTTCGGAGTCATCTTCCTTCTAATTGGGGATGTTAAATGATGATCGGTTTCATTTGCTTTGGTATTTACTTGAAGGAATTAATTTTGAAGAATCTGGCTAGGTCTATTTCCAAAACAAAGTTGGTGTGGCTGCTGGGATCGTTGAATATGGTACTGGATTTGACTGAATTTGGAGTTTTTGTGGAGTCAGAAGTGTGAATGTGAATATTGTGTCTGCATTTGAAGTAATATTTGTGAATACTCGAAGAAGTGATATAGTAAGTGGTGTATTTTTTTTTTACTTGGTTGCATACGAGTCAAGTTCCTAGTGACTAGTGATTAGAGGTTTGTGGAGATGTCTACTGATTCATCAAGTTCTCCATCTATTGTTTCGGGATTGGTTCCCGTTAGTGCTTCTTCGAGTTCTGGATCCTTTGGTCCATATTATAGTATGACAGGTTTACACAATACCTTGGTCAAGTTGGACAGTACCAATTATCCTTCCTGGTCAATGGCTCTTTCAACCTTTATTTACTCCAATCGCCAATCTAGATGGCTTGAGGAAGAACCACCTGAAGATCCGGCTCGTCTAGAAGAATGGAAATTCGTTGATGCTACGTTGTGTATTCTTTTGTGGGGAAGTATGGCTGAATCGGTTAGCCATCTTTTCATGGATTGTGCAACAGCTCGTCAGGTTTGGACGAAGTGTGCTTTATTATATTCTGGACGGAATAACATGAGTCGAGTTTGTGATATGTGGGAAGCTTTATTTGAAGCCAAAATTGGTGATGTTAGTTTGGCAGATCATTATGCTTGTTTTGCATCTTTGTATCAGCGCCTCAAGTCTTATTTTCCACCTACTACCACAGTTACTCAGATGCAGCAACGAGAAGCTGACATGATAACCGTGCTCTTTCTTCGTAGCCTTGGTCTAGATCATAGTGCTCTTCGTCAACAGATCACCTCTCAGAGCACTCTTCCTTCCATTGAAGAAGTGTATTCTCGAGCTGCTCGTTACACTTCCAGTCCCAAGACTTCAACAATTTCAGACAGTAGTGCTATGGTAGCTCGTGGAGGTCAAGGGACTCGTGGTCGTGCTAGTGGTCGTGGACATTGGAATTCTGAGAGCTTGTGCCGTGGTGGTGGTCGTGGTTTTCAAGGCAGAGGTGTCACTCGTGGTGCTGGTAATAATATTTCTAGAGGAGGCCGTGGAAACCGTTTTTGTACTCATTGTCAGCTTTCCGAACATACTATCGATTATTGTTATGATCTTTATCCTGAGCGTCGAGGCCTACATGCCTCTATTGATACTGAACCTTGGACTTCACCTAGACCATATTTTGGACAAGGTACAGTAAACTTGACTCGTGCTGAATATGATGAGTTGACTAGAGCACAACAGAGTGTGAGTGGTGTTGTATCTAGTCCTACTGCTACTTTGGCACAGCACAATGATCATACTTGTCTACTATCTAGTACAGCTACTCCTCGTCATTGGGTTATTGATTTAGGTGCCACTCATCATATGACCGGTGATTCTCATCTTCTCACATCCACCTCGTCTGTCCCTTCTACCTCAGTCACTTTAGCAGATGGTTCTCAGTCCAAAGTCACTGGTACAGGTTGTGTATCATTGAGTTCCTCTATCTCCTTACCTTCCGTTTATCATATTCCACGCTTCCCCTATAATTTATTATCTGTCAGTTCTCTTACTCGTGATCTTGATTGCGATATTATCTTTTCTTCATCTTCGTGTGTTCTTCAAGATCGGAAGACTGGACGCCGAATAGGTGGTGGGCGTGAGGCTGGTGGACTGTATATCCTGGACCTTGATATTATTGCTGCTACTACAACAGTTCAGAATAAAGCCGTGGATGATTTCTATCGATTACATTGTCGCCTTGGTCACCCATCAGCAGACATGCTCTAGCGTTTTCCTTTTGTGTCTAGTTCAGGTCTTCAATTTAATTGCGAAACTTGTCAGTTGGGTAAACACCATCGTGTATCTTTTTCCCCTCGTTTTTCGAGTCGTGCTTCCCAACCATTTGAGTTAGTTCACTCCGATGTGTGGGGTCCTAGTCGAGAGTCTTCATTTGGTCTTCGTTATTTTGTCACCTTTATTGATGATTGTACTCGTATAACCTGGTTATATTTAATAAAACATCGTACTAAAGTCTTTCATTCTTTTTGCCAGTTTTATAATGAGGTTCGTACTCAGAATAATTATTCTGTTAAGTGTTTGCGAACAGATAATGCTCGTGAATACTTCTTTTCTTCTACCTTCATTTCATTTCTTGAATCTCATGGTATTTTACATCAGAGTTCTTGTGCTCACACTCCGCAACAAATGGAGTTGCTGAATGTAAGAACCGTCATTTGTTGGATGTTGCACGTTGTTTACTACTTCACACTCATATGCCTAAGTCCTTCTGGAGCTATGCACTTCTTACGGCCTGTCATCTTATTAATCGTCTTCCATCATCCGTGTTGAAAGGTCTTCCATCATTCGTGTTGAAAGGAGCTATTGCTTATGCTCTTCTTCATCCTAATCGTCCTTTGTGGTTTGTTCGTCCTCGTATTTTTGGATGTGTCTGTTTTGTCCAATTTTTGTCTCCTGGGTTGGACAAATTATCACCTCGTGCTGAAAAATGTATATTTGTGGCTTATTCTCGTACCCAAAAAGGGTATGTCTGCTATAGTCCTACTCGTCGTCGGGAGTATATTTCTGCTGATGTGACTCTTTGAGGATCAAGCATATTTTGGGGATGTTCGTCCTCAAGCACCATTAACCATGGATCTTCTACCACCTTCAGCACCTATATCTCAATCGGAGCCATCGCCTATTCATTCTAATGATGTTCCACCGGATTCAGGGTCACCAGCATCGACTCATCTCCAGGTCTATACACGCGGTCCTCGCCCTGTTTGGGGCCATGAATCTCCACCAGCGAGCGTTTCACCACCACCACCTCTTGTCCAAGCTTCCGATTCTCTTCCATCGTCTCCTGAAAGTTCTCCTATTGCTCATCGTACTCGATCTCGGTATCCTCTTTTTAATTTTGTGTCTTATCATAACTTGAGTCCTCAGATGTCTGTCTTTGTGTCATCCCTTGCATCTGTGTCTGTGCCGAGTAGTATGCAGGAGGCTTTGGCCCATCCAGGTTGGGCTCGTGCTATGGAGGAAGAGATGGCTGCGTTGCATCATAATAAGACTTGGGAGCTAGTTCCATTGCCGGTTGATAAACAATTGGTAGGTTGTCGTTGGGTCTTTGTTGTTAAACATCATTCATATGGTTTAGTTGAGCGCTTAAAAGTGCGTCTTGTGGCGAAGGGCTACACTCAAACTTATGGCATTGACTATGATGAAACTTTTTCTCCAGTAGCCAAAATTCCTTCTGTTCATATCGTTATTTCCTTGGCTGCTCAATCTCAGTGGACTCTTCATCAGCTTGATGTCAAAAATGCATTCCTTCATGGTGATCTTCATGAGGAAGTATATATGGAGCAACCACCTGGGTTTGTTGCTCAGAGGGAGAGTGTGCCGGTTGCGCAAAGCTCTTTATGGACTTAAGCAATCTCCTCGTGCTTGGTTTGACCACTTTAGTGATGAGGTTATCAATTTTGGCATGCATCGGTGCAGTGTGGATCACTCGGTATTTCGTATGCCGTCTTCAAAAGGGTGTGTTATCCTTGTTGTTTATGTTGATGATATCATTGTCACAGGAAGCGATGTTGAAGGCATAAAACAACTCAAGCAGTTTCTTCAAAAGGAGTTTAACACTAAGGACCTAGGTCGTCTTCGATATTTTCTTGGCATCGAAGTTGCCAATGCTAATGGCAGCATTACTCTCTCCCAGCGGAAGTATACTCTTGACATTCTTAAAGAGGTTGGCTTACATGATGCTAAGCCTGGTGACACACCTATGGATCCAGGAGTGAGGCTTGATAATGAAAATGGAGAACTTCTTCATGATCCAGAGAAGTATCGTCGGTTAGTAGAGAAGTTAAATTATCTTACAATTACTCGTCCAGATATTTCATTTGCTGTTAGTGTGGTGAGTCAATTTATGAGCTCTCCTCGTACTACTCATTGGCAAGCTGCACTACAAATTGTTCGATATTTGAAGGGACCTCTAGGTCAAGGACTTGTGTTCCATTATCAGGGTCATCTTCGTATAGCTGGTTATTCTAACCCTGAATCTTTGGAGGCAACAGGATATTCTGATGCAGATTGGGCTGGTTGTCCTATGGATCGCCGGTCTACTTCGGGATATTGTGTATTTCTTGGTGGTAATCTTGTATCGTGGAA